TTTTTTTTGCAATGGAAATAAATTCCATCACCAATTGTAAAAAAAAAAATCACTTTAATTGACAATTTCTATGTAAAACGAAGTCAAACGAATACTAAACTTTGATAAAAAAAAATAGTTTTCGAGCAAATATTATTATTATTATTTTTACTTTTTGGCAAATTGGGTAACAAATTTCATAACCAACTGTAAAAAAAATTTCAATTTAATGGATAATTTTCATATAAAATAAAGTCAAACGTGAACAAAAAGATCCAAAATTTAAAAATTTTCTTGGGTGGAAAATTTTACCTAATAAACACACATAATTAACAATTCTCTGCAAAACAAGTTCTAGGCAATTACTTTCCCTGAAATTCAATTTCTTTCCACCATTGCAATCAAACGGATCATTATATTTATCCCATTTACTGTTTTCTTTATTTTAAAGTACATATGTACATGTTTTGCAAGTCAGGTCTTCAAAGAATGCGCGTTTGAGGTGAAATGAGATGCAAACAAGGTCATTAAAATTTCAATCATACTACACAAACATAATAGTTGACATAATCTTTAATATAATGTCACATAATAACTTATCATTTGACTGTTTAAAATACAGTCAATTTTTTCATCAAATCACATCATGTCAACACATATTCTGTCATTATCTCTGTCATACATTTTTTGGTACACTAGTATTATTCTTTTATTTTTTTATTATTTTTTGTAAATTTAGAAATATATTAAGCCACCATTTTTTATCTCATTCTCTCAAAACTCCATTTTTTTTTCATATTCATTTTTAATTACACATTCATGTAGTAACTCATAACTTTTTTTCTTTTTAACCATAATTTCTCCAAAAAAATCGTTATTTAAAACAATATTTTTTCAAAAAATGCCATCAAACACGGGCAAAATCTTATGTTATATTTTGTTAGCACGAGGGAGAAAAGGCCTTATTAGCCTTGATTGTTTGGGAACAATACACAAAATATACGTATAATAATTACTTTTCAAAACTAACAAATTTATTTAATTATTTCAAAAATCAGGTG